ATATTGCATTATTTGTTTCAGAGGTACAGATCTGAGATTCAACAGTCTTGCACAATTCACAGCGCTTACCAGAGCACATACCCTCCCCAGTGGAAAATCTCTGCTTTTTAAAAATATTTTTATTTATTTATTTGAGAGAGAGAGAGAGCTAGAGAGAAGGAGCAGGAGGTGGTGAGAAACAGGCCCCCACTGAGCAGGGAGCCTAATGCAGGGTTCAATCCCAAGACCCTGGGATCATGACCTGAGCTGAAGGCAGCTGCTTAACCGACTGAGCCACCCAGGTACCCCAAAAATCTCTGCTTTTTAATTGGCCTTTCCATTTCATTTATTTAGACCATTATTGATCTCTTGATGTCTGAGGGCTTACTCTACCATTGTGTTGTTTTCTACTTGTTTCCGCTGTTTCTTGATATATTCTGTTTCTCTGCTTCTCCTTTTCTTGCCTTCCTATCAATTACTTAACCTTCTCAGAATTCAACTTTGATTTATACTTAGTGATTTGAAGTATTTCTGTCTGTCTACTCTAGTTAGCACAATATACATATGTAACTTACATAGTCTAGTGGTATTGACATTTTACGACTTGGAGTAAAGTGTAGAAAACTTGTTTCTATTTACTTCCCTTTACTCTTTTCCATTTTAAAAAACTGTCTTTAGTATTTCCTCTACATACATTGAGTATCACATCAGGTGGTATAATTACTTTTGCTTCAAATGTCAAAAAATAGTTTAAAAAATCATGAAGATAAGTCTATTTTATTTATCTCTATTTTTCCACAGTCAGTATTTCTTCCTTCCTGGAGTTCCAGGCTTCCTCCTGTGATCATTTCCTTTATGTTCTGTATACTATTTTAGCCATTCTGAAAGGGTCAGTATGTTGAAGACAAATTATGTTAGATTTCCTTCATCTGGAAATGTATTTATTTCCCCTTTATTCCTGAAGGATATTGCTGCTGGATATAGAATTCAAAATTAGTGTTGAGTTTGAGATATTCTTTATAGATTTTGGATCCTAACCCTTTATCAGATATGTCATTTGCAAATTTCTTCTCCCATTCCAAAGGTTGCCTTTCAGTTGTGTTTATTGTTTCTTTCACTGTGCAGAAGATTTTATCTTGATGAAGTCCCAATAGCTCATTTTTGCTTGTTTCCCCTGCCTCAGGAGACATCTAGTAAGAAGTTGCTCTGGCCGATGTCAAAGAGGTTGCTGTCTGTGTTCTCCTCTCACATTTAGGTCTTTCATCCATTTTGAATTTATTTTTGTGTATGGTGTTAGAAAGTGGTCCAATTTCATTCTTTTGCATGTTGCTGTTCAGTTTTCCCAACACCATTTGTTGAAGAGACTGTCTTTTTTCCACTGGATATTCTTATAAAACTCAACTTATAAAACTTATAGAACTTATGAAGCTCAACACCAGGGATGCCTAGGTGGTTCAGTCAGTTAAGTGTTCCAACTCTTGATTTCAGCTTAGGTCACAATCTCAGGGTCCTTAGATCTAGCCCTGACTTGGGCTCTGAGCTGGGCGAGGAGCCTGATTGGGATTTTCTCTCTCCCTCTGTACCTCCTCCTGCTCGCGTGTACACACACACTCTTTCTCTCTCTCTCTCAAAACAAAACCAAAAACTCAACACCCCAAAAAAACAATCCAGTTTAAAAATCGGCGGAAGACATGAGTTGACATTTTTCCAAACAAGACATACTGATGGCTAAGAGACACACGAAAAGATGTGCAACATTATGCATCATCAGGGAAATACAAATCAAAACTACAGTGAGATATCACTTTACACCTGTCAGAATGGCTAAAATTAACAACACAGGATACAAAAGATGTTGGCAAGGATGTGGAGAAAGGGGAACCCTCTTACACTGTTGGTGGGAATGCAAACTGGTGCAGCCACTCTGGAAAACAGTATGGAGGTTCCTCAAAAAGTTGAAAATAGAACCACCCCATGATCCAGCAATTGCACTATAAGGTATTTACCTAAAGGTTACAAAAACACCGATTTAAAGGGATACACACACCTTGATGTTTATAGCAGTGTTGTCAATAGCCAAATTATGGAAAGAGCCCAAATGCCCATCAACTGATGAATGAGTAAAGAAAATGTGGTATATATTTATAGTGAAATATTACTCAGCCATTAAAACTCTTGCCATTTGTGGGGCGCCTGGGTGGCTCACTGGTTAAGCGTCTGCCTTCGGCTCAGGTCATGATCCCAGGGTCCTGGGATCGAGCCCCGCATCGGGCTCCCTGCTCCATGGAAAGCCTGCTTCTCCCTCTCCCACTCCCCCTGCTTGTGTTCCCTCTCTCACTGTGTCACTCTCTGTCAAATAAATAAATAAAATCTTAAAAAAAAAAACCCTCTTGCCATTTTTAAAGATTTTATTTATTCATTTATTTGAGAGAGTGAGAGAGAGAGAGAGAGAGAGAGCACACGAGAGGGGGGAGGGTCAGAGGGAGAAGCAGACTCCCTGCCGAGCAG